AAACAGAATAGAGCGTGCATTAGCTATCAATCATGTTGCAACCACATTACCCTGGGGTATGGGCAGGCGCATCTGCGGTGTCGGCTAATAAACTTATAATTGTGTTTATTATCTATTACTAGGGCTGCAAACACAAGCCCCATGGGTCCGCCATTATTCATGCCATAAACCCGTATACAGACATCAAAGCACATCCAGGGAGAAACCTCTTGGGGTTTGCAAGTTACTCTGTTTTGTGTTCAATTGTTTTGTTTGTTATTTTAGTTAAGAATATCCCGCCCACTTTTAAATTATAAACATTAGAATGGAAAATATGATCGAAAAGAACTGACGTAATAATACCAAAAGTATGATACATTATTATGGTGAAATAGAAAACCAATTTGTCGGCGTTCAAAGGGTTAAAACATGTGTTTAACTAAACAATATCTTACCATATTTTTTGGGGTAATATACAAAGTTCCAATAGATAAATTCCACTGGCTTGACACTTGTATACATCTCTCTACTTTATCTAAGAGCAGAAAAGGATAACAATATATAGGTACTAATCCAAACCAAAATGTTTTTATTAGAGTACGAATTTACATTTTTATAATAGTTGTAAATGATCTCTGAAACAGAGGGTGGCTTCAAACACGTGTCTCCGCATTTCTTTGGCAGATAACTAGTTATTTGCAGGCTGTCGGCTCTATTTGCACAGTATTACTGTGTGTTTGTCAGTACGTTTGCCAACTCTTGCGCAGTTTGCTCTGACGTTCAAGTGTCTGGGGATATCTTGCGTTCGACCCTCTATTTATATTTCAATGTTTGTGTAGAAATTTTACGCGCATTGCAAGTTTTGCTTTTTAAATTGATCATTGTTTATTTGCGTTTAATTTCACGGTATGTAACTTTATGTTAAAATACAATAAGTACCAACACTGGAACTACAGAATTAAACCCTACAAAAAAGCCACAAGATTGGCTAGTTCTTTAACACTTTCAATGCTGTGTTACACGTTATAGTAAACCCGCACAGCAAGTCGGTAGTATTGAATGTGTTAACTTATTTAATCTATACTAATATTATAAAGCGGAAGAGTTTGTTTGTTTGTTTAAACGCGCTAATCTCAGGAACTACTGATCCGATATGAAAAATATTTTTTTCGTTGGATAGTCCATTTATAGAGGAAGGCTTTAGACTATATAACATTACGCTGCGACCAATAGTTTCTTTTAATTCCGCGCGGACGGAGTTGCGGGCGACAGCTAGTAAGCTAGAACGGTCTCTATGAGTTGACTAAGACTAACTTTATCCCTAGACGTTGAAGCATTACATACTATTGAACACAGAGTCTTAATAAATAGTCCCTCAGTCTTAGTGGATTTTTTTTATCATAAGGTGGCAAACGACCGAGCGGCCACCTGAAATCGCTGAAATAGCGAAGTGACCGTTGCCCATAGACACACGCAATTGCATATGCGTTGCCTACCTTTAATCGACGGAGGAGAGGATGCACAGAAATTAAATATTTTCCCTATCCATGCATCCTCTCATCCGGAAAGTCCATTTCCACTTCCCATCCTTTCCTTATAAGAAAAGGGTGGGAAGGGAAAGAGGACTAAATGAGGCCTCCGGGGATTTTTTATACTACACTAAAGGACTTTTTTAATGTCTGATTAAAACAATCAGAGCAAGTTATTAGTACCAAAATGTTTACATTTGGATATCCTTTTATACATTATCTAATCAATAACTTGGATAAGTTTAATAAATGTGTAAACAGTATCCAAAGCGTACAGAAGCCCGGCGATGTCAGTCCGACAGTCGGGCAAACAGACCTCGTAATATATTTGCAGAGAAAGCAAACACTGTGTGCGGTGGTATCGTAGTGATGCGACACGTTTGCAGTATCGATATTGAGAAATTTATTGTAGAAAAATATGCAATAAATTGAACTTGATTAATATTTCAAGTAAATTAATTTTTTTTTAAATGTAATAAAATTGAAAACGTCGTTTAAAAATGTCATAGATATTTATTATCATAGAAAAGAAATGAGTATGCAAATATTTGTACACAAAAATAAATGCAGAAATAAATCTTTTTATCATAAAAAAAAAAAAAATCTTTAAGCTATTTCAATTCCTGTTTAAACTTTTAAAAATAAACTTGTTTACACAGGAGTGAATTTTAAAAGTTGAAGCATTTAACGAAATATAATTTATAAACTCCATCTATCGACAAAAATATCGATACTTTGTAAAACGTGACATAACTAGTTCAGGCTAATAAATTGACTTTAGTCTACGGTGGCGATTTAAAACTGGAAGTAGCTTTGTCAGTACCGAGTCCTGACCGATGAACTTCAAACGGGCAAATGATTGGATCAAATGTTGGTAGAAGATTAAAAAAGGTAGAGAGAATATAGAGGGGACAAATTAATTTTGGTACTTGACTTATTAGCCAGCTATAGAATAGCTTCGTGTGCGGTCTTGAACTTTGTACAAAAGAAACAAACAACATTCTTAGGAAGATTCCACGACAATCTTACTAATATAAATGCGAATGTTGGGATGTTTGTTTGAAGATATCTACAGAACGGCTGCATGAATCTAATTGAAATTTGGCATAGATGTAGAACATAGTCTGGAAGAACATATAGGCTACTTATTAAGTTTTTTTTTAATTCCGCGCGGAATCGGGCGATAGCAAATAACATATATATTTTCAGTGACTCATTCCAGATAGAAATGCTGCTAACAACTGTGAAAGGAAATTCTATAGAAAATTGTTAAATTTAAAATGTTCATACGATCTCTTTATTTGTAGTAACCAGTCTCGGCGTCTATCTGTTTGTCTACTTTGCGAGCGAATAAATGTTGATTTACCTTCGACATCGGACACTGGCGCCCTCTGTACACCTATGTAAGGGATACCTAGAGAGCTTACCACAGTGTAATGAACTACAGACGTATCAACTCAAAAAATTTGCCAGACAAAGAGTTAAACAGACTGGTCAGTATTCTGACTTTGGTAGAATCCTCCGTGATAGTTGCCGTTAGAAAAAAAAATTACTATGTTCTACATCTATGCCAAATTTCAGCGAGATCCATGCATCCTTTCTAGACATACCTTGTATTAAACATCCATCCATACATTCGCATTTATAATTAATAAGATATTTTCTTACAGAACTATATTTTGGTGACGTAATATTTAAAAGAAATTTACTTTTAAAAATCGTCGGATTTCATTCAAACTTTCCCCATAATTATGGCATCGTAAAATATTACTCGATAAATACCAGTAGCCAGACAAAGCTCCCCCACTGTACGCAATGCTAACATCATTACGAGGCCGGTAGCGACGGACAGACAAACAGACATCTCTGGAGACGACACCATACAGTAACATCAATAATGACGGACTGGATGCGGTAATTTTTACTGCTACTGCCAAACTCAAAATTATAAATGCGAAAGTTTAGATGGATGGATGTTTGTTACAAGGTATCTCCGGAACGACTCAACAGATTTTGATGAAGTTTGGCATAGATGTAAACATAGTCTGCAAGAACACATGGGTTACTAAGTTTTTTTTATACCGCGCGGACTAAGTCACGGGTGACAGTTTGTTTAACAGTAGTAGACAGTTCCTTGATAAAGTACAATCAAAATAAACTTCGTTATGAAGCCTTAAACCATAGTCTTTTAAAGAGAAATTTCTTTACATTCACCTCTAAAAACATAAAACCAAAATAAATGTATCAAGTCCATCCTATTTCGGATGCTGTCATTCGTCTCCGTGTTTACACCGCACAAACATAGCGCAATGATACTCCAGTTAATTAAGAGGGCGGAGCAAACAGAGAGATGCGCCACGAATATATGCAATAGCACTAGGGAAAATTGTACATTAGGGACTGCGTTTGAAATGTCATCGAAAGAAGATAAAAAAGATAAGATAAGATAACAAAAAGATAAAGAAAAATACGTTTTTGGCTGATGAATAAAGATGTAGACATTTCAAAAGACAAAGTTATGTCGCTAGTGTTTGTTAGTTGTGCTTAGATGGTTTGGACACTATGGAAGGATAAATGATAGAAGAACAAAGGAAATTAATGGCGCGAGTGTTGCGAGTGAACGGCAATGTTGGTTTGAGCCTTTTAGAAGATCAGTATTAAGAGCACGAGAAACCTTGGTATATGCGTAGTTGTATGAATGTAGAGGCGAGATAAGTTTGTCAGAACCATGCCAATGGTCTGTGGTCTCTGCCTACCCCTCTAGGTCACGGATGTGCGTTATGTTGTTGTTTTGTAAGTAAAACCCACATCAAAAAGCCTGAAAGCCTCAATAACAAATGCATCAAAAAGCTGGATCTATATTTGTAGTATAGTTCATAGTCAGATTTGCAAAACTGACCTGTACAATAGTATAATCCAGTTCCGCGATAGCTCTCAGCAGGTGCGCCGTCCTCGCAGGCCGCACAAAAATACTGCAATGTCCTAGATCCGCACCCTCCGCGAACAACATGCAGAATTCTGCACGCGAGCCGCATAAACCCGTTCCTAATGTCTGCCGGAGGGATTGCTTCGCCATCGCGCGCTCGCAGCCCTGAACACAAAGACAATGAGAACCCTGGATAGTGGATGGAATAGTGGTTAGTGATATCACTTAATACTTACGGTATCGGTCACAGAGGGTTGGCAGAGATCAGCGCAGATGGTAAGCAATGTCTGAACGCTCTGGCGCGCCTCGCCGGCCACCTCTGCACGGGCGAAACACCCACTCATACAAAGGTAACTGAAACAACACATATTATAAGATGCTGAGACTTGCGTAAAATTAAAAATAACCTTAATTATTCCTGCATATATAAGCTATCTTCTATTAAGTCTCGTCAAAATCGGTTCAACAGTTTCACAAATTACCGAGAACAAACGTAGACTTGCGAACTGACAGACAGAAACAACGCAAATATTTTACGTATAAACTTTCCTTTTCTTTTTATAATATATAAAGTCTATAGTTATAAAGTTAACGAGTTAAAATTCAAAACTGGCCGTCGGTGGTCGACAAATCCGAATGGAAAACAAACAATAACAAAAGCTTGTTGTTTCTGTATTACCGCGACTGGGGATGAGAAGGGGATGGGCACCGACAATATTTTTAAATCTAAGTGGACATTAAAGTTTTAAAATTGTTAACCAAAGAGTGTGGATAAAATGGCTTGTGTTCAAAGACAATTGTCATAAGAACAACCTTGGAGATAAAGTATATACCTCTAATCATCATCATCAGTTAACTTTGATATTTAAATTTAACCAAAGTAATGTTCTTCGAAGCAAAGTTGTAAAATTATTAGCGCTGTAAAATTTCAATTTGTACAATTCGATGCACTTAACGTTTTCGCTTCCCGAATTAGGATACGGGAGTAAGGCATAAGAGATAGCGGGCCATCATCATCAGCTCACTATACATCCCCACTGAGGGGCTCGGAGCCTACCCTAAGTTAGGGGTGATTAGGCCATAGGCAACCACGCTGGCCAAGTGCGGGTAGGTTGACTTCACACATATCTTTGAATTTCTTCTCAAATATGTGCAGCATCACGATGTTTTCCTTTACCGTAAGAACATCGGATAAATGTACATATGTGAATCAGAAATCGAAAAACATTTTGGTACATGGCGGGGATTCGAACCCAGGTCCCGCAGATTGCAAGTCAATTGCTTGACCCCTGAGCTACCGACGCTCATAAAGTTTATACCTCTATAGTTTTTGATTTTCTTATAAAATTTTACATTTTTCTAAAATTATTAAGTAAACATCTTCTAGTCATCACAACTTCTATGATAATTATAATTATTCGAATTAGTATTTGAGTATATTTGTCTGCATTAATCCGCAAAGGTTTCCACATCAGCATCTTTGCAGATGCTTCCCCCTTCCCCACACAACCTCTGCCCCCTTCTCTACAGCAGATCCAATTACGGCTTGTATAAATATTTGATAGTATCCTACGCCGTGCACAGAACAACGAAACAATAGAGATTACAGAGATAAGATAAAAAGATTTGAATGTATTGTACAATTTCCTCTATGATTTGTCTGATAGAAGTCTATAATTCTATAATTCCGACCAAATGAGTCACACCCAAACCTCATCCATCCTACGGGAAACCTTAAGAGACGTCTAACCTTTTCGCCGCTGTATCGTAAAGCGATTAGAGAAGAATCCGGGGCCTCGCAGGCAACAAATATTTAAGATAACCTTATCATAACCCGTCCAGCGCAAGGAGGTCTCTTTATCAAACGTTTTATACTCCAACCAAATTATAAATGTGACTTCGACTTCTTTATTCCAATGGTTTAAAGTTCAAAATGCTTTGCATTGATAGTAAAATAACTATGCTTTATGGTTCAGTGCTTGAGTGACCATTCGGACGTCGCATATTCTGAATTCTCTTGTATGGCGCCTTGTTTTTTTTTTGTTTTTCTGTTACTGAAATTTATATTATCATACTAGTAACCAGTCTACTGCTATAGCACAAAATATATAGACTTATAGATATTTTAACTACGTAATAAAATCACCCCAAAGTATGCAAAACTTAACAAAATAAATTCCACTTATAAAAAACCTTCAAAGATTGCATATATCAAAACATCTGGCGAAAAGAAGTACATCTTTGTTAAGTCTTTGATGTTACTTTTTTCATCAGGTATATATTTGTCGGTAGCAACCAATATCAGAGTAGTGTGAAATCATTCTGTGTCGGCTCTAATGATTTATGTCGTACACAGACCGACTCCGACGCAACGTCAACGTTAATGGAAGCTTACGTGTGGCGCCTACGCATCTTGTCGGGGTTACCAGTTGGGAAATTTTCCCAATAAATTGGGAAAAAGTTAACCCCGTTACGGCTTTAGGCAAAATTGTAGATATTATTATATAATATTTTTTTTATTTACAGGAATATTTTAAAAATATAATGCGCAATTTTTAACGTTTTTTCAAATGTGTAGTGTTTTTTAAAAAGTTAATAGGACATTTCTATAATTTTAACAGGACTGTTCAAGAGTTCCCAACATTTTTTTTATATCATAAGATGGCAAACGAGCGAGCGGCCACCTGAAATCGCTGAAATAGCGAAGTGACCGTTGCCCATAGACATAGGCAATTGCATATGCGTTGCCTACCTTTAATCGACGGAGGAGAGGATGCACAGAAAGAAAATATTTTCCTTTTCCATGCATACTCTCATCCAGAAAGTCCACTTCCCATCCTTTTCTTATATTAAAAAGAGTGAGAAGGGGAAATTTAGGTTAATCTAAGATTATTCAATTTAATTGCAGCTTAATTTAGGGAAATTTTAAATTGTAAGTGTGCAACACTGATTCTCGCTAGCCGATAGAAATTTATAGCGCGTTTAAAATGTTTTCTTTCTTAATTTCTGTTAGATAAACGAACCACAATTTCGGCGCCTTTAACGAGGTAAAATATGCATATCCATTACTGGGCCGATGTCGCTCACTGCATTTCAAGGCTAAAACGTCCAAATTACCTTGAACTCTCGTTATTTTTATAAATCTCCGCGTTCAGCTCTAAAGGGGAGGTTCGGGTTAAATTGGTCATCATTGAAATTGTTGTGGCATTTTAAGTGTGTGAGGTATGTTAATTTTAGATTTTTATTTTAATACGTTTGGAAAACGAACATGTCCTTTTCTTAGACAAAATGTTGCTATCATTTATTGTACTAGTGAAATGTAAATTTTTATAAAAAAAAAATTACAAGCTATAAAAAACGTAATAGAACTTGTTGTAATTTAAAATAATTCTACAACCTACACTTCTATAAAGTACATAATTAAATTTTCAAGGAATTTAAAACTTCAATATAAATGCGAATGTTTAGATGGATGTTTGTTTGAAGGTATCTCCAAACAGCTGCATTTATCTCGGTGAAATTAAGCATAGATGTAGAACATAGTGTGGAAGTACACATAAACTACTAATTACGTTTTTTTTAATTCCGTGCGCAGGGAGTCGCGGGCGACAGCTAGTAACAAATAAAGTCGCACACCCTCTCCGCATGTGTTAGGGGCGCGTTGAATTTGTTTTGACTGCATTTGCATTAGGATTTGCGTGCATTAAAGCGAAATAAATTTGATGTCTCCATGCGTATGACATTCATGAATATTGGTAGTTTCATTTTAGAGCGATTTTATTAGCGTTTATGGGCGTCAAATTATTAGCACAGATGTCCATATTTGCGAGGGAACTAAACGTTTAATATTAAACTTAACGGGTTTATTTTTTCATACAATATCCTAATACTAAACGATTACGTTTTCAATAGTTAGATGTACTAAATAGAACAGTAGATCTGCCTATAAAGTAAAAGATGAATTAAAAAAAATTGCTAATATTTATCTGGTTGCACGACTTATATTGAATATTTATATTATCTCCAAAATAAATTTATTTTATATATTTATATCATTTTTTTTTTAATATTAGCAGATTTTTTTGTAAATTTACTAATATTTCTTTTACCATTCCAACTAAGCTGTATGTTTGTGCTAGGATATGGTTTACGACAATAGTCGAATCCCGGGATTCGAACCCCCGACCTCGTGATCGGAAATCCGTATCCTTAACCATTAGGTTATTAACGCTTTTAAATAAATTAATTAATTATATAAATTGAAGTTTGTTATATATATTTCTGTTATTTGTTATATGCTTAATGTTTTTAATTTATTCAAAAATCCTATGTATATTAATGTATAAAATTACAAATGCACGGTTGATTTAAATATAAAAATGCTACAAGGGGAGGTCGGGGAAAGCCGAGTAATCCTGGTAAGTAATTCTCTTGCAGTAAGTAATGCGCTGATAAATGAAATTAAATCGGACAAACAAGTGCTGCCATTCGCCCCGCGGCTCCCCTTTTATGTCGTCTCTTGTACGAAATACTAGTGATGTAAAAAATATGTCGATATTTTTTTTCATATCTTTTTTAATATACCACTCAAGATATGAATAAACTCTTTTATAAAAATAAATTTATAAGCAATATGGGTAATTGATAAAAAAAATATTTTGAGTGATTAAAATACAAAAATAAAGAAATAGAAGGATTTCCTCTCAAAGTAACCTACATCTATACCAACATAATAAAATTAACCTATTAAAATCTAATAAGTTATGTGTACTTTACGTTTTTCTTATATCGAAATATAAGATTTTTTTAAATATCATCATCTAGTTACATATAAATATTGTATGGATAATTTATCGATAGTTTCTCAACATTTCAGTTCGTACATCACTAGTATAAAGTTAGCAAAAAGCGCATCGCATCTCGACATGTGCGCGCCAATCTGTCGTTGCTGCCGTACTCGAGTACTATTTATATCCTGCTCTAACATATAGCAACTCGTATATAGTTGTCACTATCGCACGCCCCTTGTCGACACTACTTAACGACGGGTCGATTATCGCCCGATGCGATGTATTGGATTGTTTTCGATTGTCCGATTCGATTATTCCGCTAAAAAAACATGGTGTTGCAATATTCAATTACGTAACAGCGAAATTTCATCTGGAACACTCAAGCGAAATTGTTTATTTCTTCAGACATGACTACTAAAAATTGTCGTATTATTAAACTTTGCCGATATTTGCGGAAGAATTTTATATCGACAAGGATATTAAAAAAGATGAAGAGAAACAGAGTTAGCCTTCGGCACACACTCATCGGACTAAAAGAGGAATCATTTCGCACTTTCATATGAT